TTAATAATGTTTTTTTTTTTTAATTTTTTTTTTGGATTTGTTTTGCAGCAACATATACTATATTAATGACCATCTGGATAAAAGGACATGGACTTATATATTTGGGGCTTGCTGTGCAACAACTGTCTTTATTCCTTCTTTTCACAACTATAGAATTTGGTCCTTTCTGGGCCTTGGAATGACCACTTTTACTGCTTGGTACCTCACAATTGCAGCTATTGTTCATGGCCAGGTTAATTATTATTATTTTTTAATTAATTATAGGGGTTATTAATTACATAAAATGTTAAATATTTTGTTTACACATAAAATGTTAAATATTTTCTTTACCTTTTTTTTTAAAAAAAAATAAATAAATAGGTTAAGGATGTGCAACACTCAGGCCCCAAAAAGATGGTTCTGTACTTCACAGGAGCCACCAACATACTCTACACTTTTGGTGGCCATGCTGTTACTGTGTAAGTTTTTTTTTTCTTTTTTTCTTATTGTTATCTTTTTAATGTTAATTATTATTCTCATATTTGTAGCTAATTGTTTATCCTAATTGAAAATTATATGTACATTGTCCAAAATGGATGTTTGTAAAACTTACTGCCCCGTAAAAATTTCGTAGCGAAATCATGCACGCGATGTGGAAGCCTCGAAAGTTCAAGTACATTTACCTTTTGGCCACACTCTACGTTTTTACTCTGACTTTGCCATCGGCCTCGGCCATGTATTGGGCGTACGGAGACCAACTTCTCACTCATGCTAATGCTTTCTCTCTCCTCCCGAGGACCGGATGGCGTGATACCGCCGTTGTTCTCATGCTCATCCACCAGGTGATCGATTCTCCTTTCTAAAAATTTCAATTCCCTTGTTTTTCGCGCTAATAACGGTCAATTGTTCATGCTACGAACTTTGTTCTTCGTCTCGTGCATTTTATGTCGCTAATATCATTCTCAATAGGGTATATTGAAATTTGGTCACTCGACGAGACACTTAAATGGTTACCGACAAAAGTGACTTCCTCGTACATTTTAGGCAATTTTTTTTTTTTTTTAAAACTTTTGTTTACTTCTAATTCCCTTATTTGTCATCGTGCATTCGTGCTTGACAATTTTTCTTCACAATATTGTTGATTGATCATATACCGAGAACAGATGTTTTTAAGGAGCTAACGTGAATTATAACTTGCGCTCGCGTAGTTTATCACATTTGGATTTGCATGCACGCCTTTGTATTTCGTGTGGGAGAAGGTAATTGGGATGCACGACACGAAAAGCATGTGCCTAAGGGCGCTCGCTAGGCTACCGGTGGTGATACCGATTTGGTTCTTGGCCATAATTTTCCCCTTCTTCGGACCAATCAACTCGGCGGTCGGGGCGCTTCTAGTGAGTTTCACCGTCTACATTATTCCGTCCCTTGCTCATATGCTTACTTATCGGAAAGCATCAGCTCGTCGGGTAAGGTTTCTATTGTTTTCGAAAAATCATAATTCCCACTATTATACCAAATAACCGAAATGCACGATTTGGCTCGATTTTTGGTTTTTTCTTGATTTTTTTTTTATGCTTTTATATTTAATTTGGTGCAGTTAGGTACAGAAGCGAACTGGACCATTAAAACACCCAAACTCTTAACTTGTAAAAAGTCACAGAACTGCACAAAATATATAAGAGAAAACCAAACGGAAACGGATCATAAATTTTTAACACTAAAAATTGAACCGAACAATACCGAATTGCAATTCGGCTTGGCTTTTTCGGTTTCGGTTTGGTTTTACTATACTTATATGGTAAGCTTGGGGAGGTAGAAATATTAGATCCCATAATTATAATATTTCTTGTAATTTTAATTTGAGTGTTTATCTGTTTAAAATTAAATTGATTTTTTTTTTATAAAATCAATTATATTTTGACTTGTTTTTATTTAATGGGGATTAAATAAATTAATTTCAGAATGCTGCTGAGAAGCCGCCATTCTTCATGCCAAGCTGGACCGCCATGTACGCAGTCAACGCCTTCGTGGTAGTATGGGTCTTGGTAATCGGGTTCGGGTTTGGCGGTTGGGCCAGCGTCACCAATTTTGTGAAGCAAGTGGACTCATTTGGGCTTTTTGCAAGGTGCTACCAGTGTAAACCTCCACCACAGGCCCATCCAGCTGCACCAACCCATTAATGAGATTGGGTTCAAGCAAGACAACAGTCACAAAATTGTTTTTTTTTTTTTTTTTTTTTT